CCCAACAGCAAACACACACACCTTGGTGGAGAGAAGGGGTTGCAACGCTATTTTAATGAAAACGAGAAACGCACTCGCTGCACAAGGGGCAGAGGGTAGTTACTGCTAGTTACCGATACGTCATATTGCACATGCTCTAAACCCCGACGAGGGGAATTACACAAACCAAAGTTGCAAAATAATTTGATTAGTTTCGCGCCGATTGAGCACCAGCAAACGTTCAGCTTGATTGCTCCACGAAAACATTTCCGATTAAACGAAAAAATACCAAGTGAACAAATTATTCCCTTTATTCATTCATACATTCGCGCGCAAAACATCAAACAGTGTGAAAGAATTTTCTTTGGCACTTGGCGATGTAACAACGTAGAAACTCATCATCGAGGAATAATTATTATATTCCGCACGGTTCATCGAATTTTTCATCGCTATTTCGGAAAATCGGGTGTGAAACAGGTCCTTTTTGAGTTCTGCCACGTGCGGATCAACAGGTTGCACATCATAGAGTTCAAGTTCAAGGTAAAACCGCGAGCATCGATTCAGGCAAAGATTTCAGGGGCAGCCGTATAAAGAGGTAATCGTTTTGCTGTGTTCCAATTGGATGTAATTATACTGCCAAGATAAACGAGGACAAGACAAGATTCGTAGAATTGACAATCATGCATGCTGTGAGTTTTGGATCTACGCACCAGTCCATGTTGAAAAATCAAAATATTTTGATTCACTTAATTTTACATCAAATTATTGCATGTATTGTGTATTCATTTTTGCTTGTTGTGATTTTTGTATTGCCGATAAGAAGACAGAAGATACAAGAAGAATGCAGATCGAAGAACAACTGGACAAGTTTACATCTATACCAATAAATGATAGAAATTTCGGTTTTAAACGGGCGCAAGAGAGATGATATACCTTCAACTTCATTGCTGATGGAATAATAGATGTTAAGATGCAATATCCTAAAAGAGAACACACCATATTATGATGTTTTTTTCACTCGATTTTTCTTTGAATAACTAGAATTTTCAAGAATAATGTCAAATATGTTCTTATTGTTCTTTCAAGAGACCATGGATCATCTTCCTGTGAGATACAAGCAATATTCAAAATGGTAATTATTTACTTCAATTGTAGGGATATAACCAGGGCCTATACAGGGTGTTTCATAATTGAATGCTGATCCTTAAGGGCGACAATCCTTGGATGATTTCAAAGAGGAAAGTTCATATCAACATATGTCCTGAACCTCTTAGTTATTGAGCTGCAGGGTGATGAAATTTCAAGAAAAAAATGATTTTTTCATCATAATTTTTTATCACTCTCAGATATTGTTATGATATTTTGTATACACCTTTTCATTATTGAGGAGCATTTTTTTACATGAAAGATATTTAAAAATTCTGACCAGTGGCGTCCGTACGGGGTTTGAACTGACAATTTTTGAAGAAAAAAATAGTACGCCACTGATTTTTCTGAGAACCAGATTTTTTTTTTCAATTCTCATTCATTTTGGAGCAAATTTGGTTCCTACACTTACTTTGATACAACGTACCGTTTTCGCGTAAAAAAATAAAAACCAAAGAATTTTGTTCCTTCAGTTCTTGGATATTGTTTTTGGTAATTCAGTAGACACCCACTATAAGTGGAAACACATTTTGTTTTGGGACAAAAATCAAACTTTTACTCTTACCAGTGATGTCCTCGCGTGGACCTGATATTGAATGTTTAAAAAAAACGCTGTACGCTACTGATTTCAACACCCTGTAGCTCAAAAACTAAGAGGTTCAGGACATACGTTGATATGAACTTCTCTCCTTAAAATCATCCAAGGATCATCGCCCTTTAGGATCAGCATTCAATTATGAAACACCCTATATAACTCGGGATAAAACTATATAGGAAAAACCTATATTTCAAATTAGTCATAATAATATTAGGTATACCGATAGCTTTTTGTTCCTTATTGTTTGTATACATAAAACTCTTTTCATATTTGATAACTAATTATATAAAATAGAATCATTTTGCTACCTACAATAATTATTGATGACTGCATCAACAGTATCCTCAAACTAAAAATATCAAATGATATATTTGCTACAGAATCAAATTGTAGGCAAAGGATCATAGCTTTTCAATATACCTATACAAATAGATACCTACCTATACAAGGTGTAATTTAATTATCTTGAGAAGAACAGTTCATATGAACATATTATATGGCCTGAACCTCTTTACTTTGGAGCAATAAGTAGACAGTGTTGAAATTTTAAGAAAAAAATTGTTTTCTCATCATAACTTCATACTGTCCTGAATATTTTCCTGGAATTTGACATGCACCTACTAAGCACCAATAGGCATTTTTTGATGCAGGAGATTTTCCAAAATTTTGGAGATTTTTTTAAAAATATTGTACGCCCTTCATTTTTCCGAGAGTAAAAATCATTTTTAAAATTCTAATTTATCTTGCAACAATTTGACTTCCCGAATTTTTTCCGTCCAACAAACAGAGTTATCCCGTAAAAAAATAAAATCCATTTTCATGCATTTTATGGCATAAAAGGAGATTATTTTAAACAGTAGACTATAGTGCCCTATTTTGTATTTATAATAATTCAACACCCTACAGTTTGAAAGTTAATATAAGAGGTTTAGGGCATGTTCTTATACAGGGTGACATAAAAAAAAGTACATTGCATAGTGCCACAAAATAGAGGATACTAAAATAAGAAAAAGAGTTCCTATGAACATGGGTCCTTCGGTTAAAAGATACGGGGTGTTGAATTAAAATTTTTTTTTGGGTTTTCTTTGAATATCTTCAGCCAGAGACGCAAGGAATGGATGAAATGTGGTATACAGGGGTTTTTATCGTGCCATATTCAAATATGATCTTAGTTTTGTGATGACTGATAGATGGCGCTACATACAGGGTTCCATCCCTATTGAATCGGTCGTAACTTTTTTGCTATACACTGTATGTCATTTTCGACGGAAAAAATTTGTTATCCCTTCTTTTATACTAAAAGAAAGGTATACCTTGTCCAAGGTGCTAAAAGCAATGGTTCCTGTACAAATGCATCTAAAAGCCGACAATGCAAGCAAATTATTCAAAAAGCGCCAAAGTAACTTTTGCAAAAACAAGGATAAATACTTCAACAATCACATTTTAATGGTATGATGAAAAATATGATTAATTAGAATAAAACATCAAGTTTTTAGAAGATGTTCAAATTGTTGCCCTCCTACTTCAATACATATTTCTCCATTAAAATTCAACACCCCGTATCTTTTAACCGAAGGCCTTGCGGACCCATGTTCATAGGAACTGTTTTCCTCATTTTAGTGTCCTCTATTGTATGGCACTATGCAATTTACTTCTTTCTATGTCACCCTGTATATGAACTCTTTTTCTTAAAATGTGCTAAAGGAACCATATCACATATTTCCAGCCCCCAATTAATATTCATCATGTATACAGGCAGAAAATCTATTAATTAACTGATGACTCTACCACTTACCTATAGATAGGTACTCGGGTATTTATATAGGTAGGTACCGCTGAATGAATATCACGTTGAATCCATGCATTGGTTTTTCAAAGCCTCGGGAGCTTGTCCATATTCGCCTGTCCACTAATATCTGAATCTGAAAGAAAATAAGGTAGATTCATCACAATGTTTAACTGCAGAATATCCTTTTTTCATTTACTTGGAATTTGCAAACTCTAAAAGCCCTGTGCTTTACGGTTATAACCACTTTCTACGCTATGGTCCAGAAAAAGGCAATAACAAAAACTAGGAATGATTCTTCTGAACATAATATATGGAAATGGAGGCAAATGCACAGCTGACTCATGATATAGAATAGTAGAATATAGATTTTAATTATTACCTATATATGATTCGAATTTGCCGGGACGACCATCATCTTGCTGGGTTGTTGGGAACATTTCTGGTCAATGGTACAAAGCTGTGTGAAATAGCAACCAAAGATGGCAGCCAACATTTCCGAACATCGCCGAACATCCAGTGGCGGACAACATGTTTTTTTTTCACATGGAAATTCCAGGAGGTTATAATGAAGTTTATTTATTTATTTATTTAAAGAAGATTACAAACAGTTTCCTAGAAACCTAATTACATGAATCTTGAATCTTAAAATTAAAATTAAAGTTAAGAACAACACAAGTTGCATTCTAAAAACTAAAACTAACACTAACATGCAATAAGAGCACCAATTTAAATTTTAAGTTTTTGCCTTGAAAGTTGACATAGACCGGGATAATGGATAATAGGTTTATGGAAATTCGTCATATTTGAAGAAGACATTCACTTAACAACATTTGTAACGATATACAAGAGAAGATGAATTCGTTTGCAAACTGAACAAAAGTATTTATGGGTTGCACCAATCGGGTCATATGTGGAATAAATTAAACAATTGACAATTTCATAAAGAGTCAAGGATTCAAGAGATCGCTATTGCTGACCCATGTGTCTACTAAGAATCTGAGAAAGGAATCACTATCACCATTTATGCTGAAGATATATTGATTTTTGGAGAAAATCGTGAAATAGGGAAGAAAAAGAAACAGAAATTTTGAAAGAAATTATTTTGCTGGACCATTTGAAAATATTGGGGATCAAAGATCCAGGGGGTGTTGAAAGTTAGAAATTCCCACTGTTGATTACCTACGTGGCGTATTCGACTCGTGGGAAATCACTATCATTTCGTGCTCATTAAACAATATGCTCTTACTAAGATGTCTGCATCTCAACTATTACTTTATCTTATAGCAACAGTTCTTCATAAAATACCCTCAAAATATTTTTTGTATTTGGAGGCTAGAAAAAAAAATGTTATCCGCCACTGGGTCTTTGGCTATGTTCGGAGATTTTGGCTTCTATCTTTGGCTGCTATTTTCACACAGCTATGGTATTACTGGTTTATTTACCAACCAAACCGTGCGCGTTCAAACATTTTTAATAAAAATAAAATTATCAGCAGTCTCACCCACAGCCACAGTCTCACTACACCACAGGTCTCACATTACACCATGGTTATGCAACCCAACATACGTTAACGGTATATTTCATTCATTACGTGGCCGGAGAATCAGCTAATTAAAATATATTATGAACACATCCAACAATGATCAAAGCTTAATTAATAAGTATAGTCGAATGATATTGTTATCAATATGAAACTTTTTTCGGAGATTCCTGAAAAAGGGTAGGAAGATTATAACCTTTAAATTTTTCGTCCAATCAAATTCATCGTAAAACTGATTTGTTGCCTACTGTGCAGGAGGTAGAAAACTGGGTGTCGTTGTTGTAATGTCAGAAACAAGGCAAAAAGGTGAGTTTTTATATTTTTGCCTTATGTATTGATCCAATATTGTTTTATAAAAATTATTTAAATATTTTCGAATGTATAAGTGTAGAGTAACCACATCGAGATTCATCATATTTCCTTTTTCAAGTGATTTAAAATACCCAAGACATCATCACTCATGAAATTCACAATGGCGGGTAAAAAGATTACTTCACGACGATGGAGACTCATTAGAATTTTGAAAAATAATTATCATAAATGCAAAAATAGCCAATCAAAACAAACGTGTCATTGATTATCTGCATAAAAACATATCAGGTAATGAATGTGAATGTGTGATGCAGGCCTGTTGATGTAAATAATAAATAAACCACATCATACTTTTGTACTTTTAAGGGCATTGAACGCTCCTGGCCCTTTTCTAGTTGAAAATATGACGTACACTCTTTATCTATTGAACATTTTTAACTGTACTATAATAATAAATGCATTCTTGTATGTAATTGTGCTTGTAAAATAACTGTTATTTCTAGATGGTTACAGTTTTAGGTCAAATAACTCTATTCTAAACAGCAGTTCAGACAAGTGCAATCTGCTATGAGTTTAGTGGTGAAAAAGTGGCTATAACATGTATTTTTAATAGGTATATAAGAAACAAAGATGGATCAACAATTTTGTCTTCGCTGGAACAACCACCCAACAAATTTAACAGATGTACTAAGCAGCCTCTTGAGAAGGGAAGCCCTGTGTGATGTAACTCTAGCCTGTGAAGGAGAAACGTTCAAAGCCCATCAAACAATTCTATCTGCATGCAGTCCATACTTTGAAACGATTTTTATACAAAACTACCATCCACACCCCATAGTTTTTCTTAAAGATGTCAATTACAATGAGATGAAAGCTCTGTTAGACTTTATGTATAAAGGGGAAGTGAATGTGTCACAGCATCTGCTACCAATGTTCCTAAAAACTGCAGAGGCCTTGCAGATACGTGGGCTAACCGATAATAATTCTCTCAGCAAAAATGAAGAATTATCTGAAGTGCCAAGGAGAGATAGAGATAGGACAATTGACAGATACAGCCCTCCAAGTGAAAAACGAAAAAGGAAATCATTTTCAAACTGTGATATGACAACAAACTCAAACTCTGAAAGATTAAATGATTCTCAGGTAAGCTGATACATTGACTCTCATATCATATCAATAAATTGAATAAATGAATAACAACAACACCTTGGAGTTTCTGGAGGAATTTCTTTCATGCCAACATTTTCTATATCTATTTTGATTAATGCTCAAAAATATGATCCACAATCATTTATAATAAGTTATCAGTACTTATTAGTGATACATTCATATATATTTTTTTCATAACAGTATGATGAGGTTTTCAATTCCTTTTATTCTCAAATTTTCCCCATGTAACATTTCTGAAAACACAGCATCAACATCAAAATCTTTGTGAATTATTAACTCCACCTTTCAATAGTTATTATATTTATTCACTCTCATGATATTTTGATGCTCTTTCATAAGTAGTTTGTTTTTCTTCTGATAAATCTTTCACTTTCCCTACTAAAATTAATAAATCCAAAGAGATCATAAATTTAGTAATCCACAGTGAGTATCAGAATTTTACATAATTTTACATGGTAGTTTTAATTGAGCTTGATGCCTTCATTCCATGGCCTTATGGCTTTAGCCTTCTTCTATTTTGGCAATGAAAAATGTTATTTAAATAGAATTGACAAGATGAGATAATCCTGGAGATAATCATTGTGAATATATTTTTTGAAAGATTCAGTCAGTTACAATTATTGTTTATCTTTTAGGCTACTCAAAAGTTGAATATAAATGTACCAAAGTTGAATCATTGACTCTCATATTATATCAACAAATTGAATAACAACAACACCTTGGAGTTTCTGGAGGAATTTCTTTCATGCCAACATTTTCTATATCTATTTCCATTAATACTCAAAAATATGATCCACAATCATTTATAATAAGTTGTCAGTACTTACTTATTAGTGATACATTCATATATTTTTTTTTCTTAACAGTATGATGAGGTTTTCAATTCCTTTTATTCTCAAATTTTCCCCATGTGACATTTCTGAAAACAGCATCAACATCAAAATCTTTGTGAATTTTCAACTCCACCTTTTAATAGTTATATTTATTCACTCTCATGATATTTTGATGCCCTTTTATAAGTAGTTTGTTTTTCTTCTGATAAATTTTTCACTTTCTCTGTGTAAATTAATAAATCCAAAGAGATCATAAATATAGTAATCCACAGTGAGTCATTGAATTATTTCTTGATTTTTGGTACACTATTTTAAACTTGTTTGAATTTTACATAATTTTACATGGTAGTTTCAATTGAGCTTGATCTGCTTGATGCCATCATTCCATGGCCTTATGGCTTTAGCCTTCTTCTATTTTGACAAATAAAAAATGTTATTTAAATAGAATTGACAAGATGAGATAATCCTGGAGATAATCATCGTGAATATATTTTTTGAAAGATTCAGTCAGTTACAATTATTGTTGTTTATCTTTTAGGCTACTCAAAAATTGAATATAAATGTACCAAAGTTGAATCATTGACTCTCATATTATAATCAACAAATTGAATAATAACAACACCTTGGAGTTTCTGGAGGAATTTGTTTCATGCCAACATTTTCTATATCTATTTCCATTAATACTCAAAAATATGATCCACAATCATTTATAATAAGTTGTCAGTACTTACTTATTAGTGATACATTCATATATTTTTTTTTCTTAACAGTATGATGAGGTTTTCAATTCCTTTTATTCTCAAATTTTCCCCATGTGACATTTCTGAAAACAGCATCAACATCAAAATCTTTGTGAATTTTCAACTCCACCTTTTAATAGTTATATTTATTCACTCTCATGATATTTTGATGCCCTTTTATAAGTAGTTTGTTTTTCTTCTGATAAATTTTTCACTTTCTCTGTGTAAATTAATAAATCCAAAGAGATCATAAATATAGTAATCCACAGTGAGTCATTGAATTATTTCTTGATTTTTGGTACACTATTTTAAACTTGTTTGAATTTTACATAATTTTACATGGTAGTTTCAATTGAGCTTGATCTGCTTGATGCCATCATTCCATGGCCTTATGGCTTTAGCCTTCTTCTATTTTGACAAATAAAAAATGTTATTTAAATAGAATTGACAAGATGAGATAATCCTGGAGATAATCATCGTGAATATATTTTTTGAAAGATTCAGTCAGTTACAATTATTGTTGTTTATCTTTTAGGCTACTCAAAAGTTGAATATAAATGTACCAAAGTTGAATCATTGACTCTCATATTATGTCAACAAATTGAATAACAACAACACCTTGGAGTTTCTGGAGGAATTTCTTTCATGCCAACATTTTCTATATCTATTTCCATTAATGCTCAAAAATATGATCCACAATCATTTATAATAAGTTGTCAGTACTTATTAGAGATACATTCATATATTTTATTAGAATTATTGTTTATCTTTTAGGCTACTCAAAAGTTGAATATAAATGTACCAAAGTTGAATCCCATATCGCCGGTCGATAGGGATAATAGTACTGGACCTGAAGATATGTGTGTATCTTCTCCCATAATAAAACAAGAATCATCGCCACTTGAATCTAGCCCACTTATTGATTCTTTTCATTCAATGTCTGAAGCATTACAAACGGTAAGTTGAAAATTGAATTAATGTTTTTTGCTTTATCAATAATTCACACAAATTGGTGGTTAAAATCAGTTTGAAATTCTCAACATCTTAGTCAAAACTATGAGGTTTGAATTTCAGAGAAATCCTCGGAGAAATCCATGTCAGAAAATGACTTCTATGAATTGAAATTTTATAATCTGCTCATCTTGATGTATTTTATAAAGTTTATACTGGTGCCTCATAGTATTTTCATGAGTTTATAGCAGTAATTATTATAGCTTTGATTTTTGGTATTCCTAGATTTCTAGAATAATGAATGATTTTTATCTTGGTAATAGTAGGAATAGTACAAATAAATCATACAGTGTATTAGGATTTTCTGTATTTTCCATAATTTTTGTGGGATTAATCTGTGGACCATTTTTATTTGGTACTACTTTATCACAATTCTGTCTACCAAATTCTTGAATATTCAACATTATTACAGTACTTTTGTCTTTGCATTCTCATAATCAGATCATAAAAGTGACATGAATACAATTTGATTATTATCAATATATTATTATAAACTGTGTTTGTTTACTGGATATTAATTCACATGAATATAGGCAATTTCACTATGATTGAAAATAGCCCTTTTTATATGGCGAACGGTCTCATACATGACTCAGTATATCAAATAGGACTTCCTCTCATCTATTGATTCCTTTACAACCGTTTAATTAATACTTCAAAAGTGCTACAAATTGAGAGAGTTCCAAACGACCATTTTTCGCGGTGTGACGTCACTTGTATTTTCTTGAAGCACCCTCTGACGATCCAAAGAGGATGCGTTGCAAAAAACCACAGACACAGAACTCGAGCACAGAGTGGTTGGGTGATCTGTGACTTGAGAGAAAAATGGCTATGAAACAAACTATAGAAGAAGAAAAAGATTAGCCTCGAAATCCAGTTCATAGTTCATTATTTCATTTTCAATGATCTATCAGTGTCATATAAGTGATATTATTTCAATCTGAATCAACTGAAATATTCTACTTGAACTGAACTGAATCAGTTAATATGCGTTCTTTCAAATGACGTTCATTGCATGTCAACTGATTCAGTTCAGTTCAAGTGAAATGTGTCAGTGCGTTCAGAATGAAGGAAAATCACTATTATAAATTTTATTGAGTGACAAAAACAATGACAAATGGTAACAAGACCAAGTGACAAGATTACCCAATGAGAATGTCCGGCCTAAGTGTATGACGCGGTGTGACGACCTTGGGTGTGACGCACCTTGTATTCGTCCAATGAAATGCCATCAATATTTCCCGCGCATTCGAGCTATCGTTTGAATTTAGGTTCAGTTTAATAATTTTTTTCTGGGTCAACCGCAATCGTAAGAAAATTTAAAAAATGCTGAATTCACCCAGTATGTGTTCTAAATCGTGAAAAAAAAAATCCAAAAATCATGGTGAAATTCCCTATTGTTCATATTTGGCAAGCTCTGTGGTTTAGTTTGAGGATATGTGTAAATGCAGTGGTGCCGTGTTTTGTGTTACTAGGTGAAGTGTTTATTTGTATTTCCGGTATAGTTCTTCTCCCCTATGAAAGAAGGAAGGGATCCATGAGTTTCATAATGCATTTCATTCTGAAAAAAGTGTGATTTTTTTTTATGACTGAAAACTGTGAATAAATTCTTATTGCTTTTATTATGTATGGAAACAACATTGGGCAATTATGAAACTCTGCTTCAAAATTACAGTTAACACAAAGTGTCAAAGTTGTCAAGTTTTTAATTCTTCAATGAAAATCGATTTTCTAGTGGTTTCTAGAATCACAAAGGAGTTTTCTTGAACACGAGCTATAGCACTTGTATGGGTCAAAATTGGAACCCACTAAGTTTCTTTGTGTAACATCTCCAAAAGCAGAATCAAAATTTGTTGTTAATATGTTTATTATTCAATCTTTCAGGTTTCAGAAGAAACAATATATTCTATGGAAAATTGAAATTATAAAAGTTGTTTCACAATACATGTGCTATAATAGTGACAATGATCTATCATTTATAATATAGTAAGTGTTGAAGAAACCTCCTTTCCAATAACAGAAACCATATTAAAACCAATGGACTCAAAAATTCGGGTAGCTCATTCAAAAAGAAAAAGAAAAATGCTGTGTCAACTGTCATTCACACATATCCTTTCCTTCTTTGTTGACAGCCAGTCTCATGGGGGAGAAATAGTGAACTCGAAACACAACCGTCTCAATCCGCTCTGCGTCAATGCCTCGATGCCCCCCCTATCGCCCCCACAGATTACCCTCTGCCGATAACTGAAGAACCTCCCCTTTGGTCGATGCGCCCCGAAGACACTTCACAATGCACTTTCACCACTCTGCAACCCGTCAATTTGGCCAGCATGCCTTCTTTGTATCCTCGGACACCTTTACCAGTCCCTCGACAATTGATCGAAAACAATAACTCGGCCGTTTCGCAAGAATGTGCGGTTATACAGAGCGTCCAAGGCAGGGGGGCGAAAAAGGGGGGCAGATTCCGGCACAAGTGGCTGAGTTCGTACGTGTGGCTGAAGTTCGACGAAGAACAGAACATCATGTACTGTCAGTATTGCAGGAAGTGGTGTCACTCGATGCCCGACATTCGCACTTCTTTCGCCTTGGGCAGTTCGAATTTTCGTTTGGAGATCGTCAATCACCATGACAAGTGTAAGGCTCACAGGATCTGTATGGCGAGGGAGTATTCGGAGGCGAGTCCTAGCAGTCGGGAGATCAATTTGAGGATCGGGCAATTTTAGAGGGGATTCTTTGTTGACATGTATTTTTTCCTCGGTTCCTCGTATGCGATGATAGAGTTCAGCTAGCGTTGGGAAAGAAAAAATATGTCTTTCCTAGAGTGACTTTATAAATAGAGTGACGACAATATTGGTACACTTTTTCATTGGTCAGACCTCTAATATGGAGGTGCAACCACATGTTTTGTTTCCTCCATTCATTTCTACGCATTCTATTTCACTTTGTCAACGCTTTTTCTCTGTTTTTTTTGACACAAAACATCCAACAATAATACATGAAACTCTATACGTCAGTACCTACCTTGAATATTAACTATTAGAATCCGTCTTTTGGGACTCTTGAGTCTCACATTATTCAGATGATGAAATGGAAACATCAAATATCTAAATCTAACATCAGGTGGACACTTCGAAGGCGCAAATTCATTACTGCATCGGGGATACCCTTCAGATTTTGAAGTATTCAGTGATTTGACCACTAATGACATTCCGGAAATGGCAGCCAGGTCTACTGTCGTCACTTTATTTAATCTACTCACTGTAGTCTTCCCCATCTGTCCTTGTTTTCAGTGTTCCAACATGAATTTATGAACATTTTATGACGGCAACACTGAAAATAAGAAGAAATGGAGGAGGTGATCATATTAACCTCAATATAAAAGAGGTTAGAATGGCCTTCTTCTCTATTTCTTCTCATTGTCAGTGTTGTCAACAAAGTTTTCAATATTTTACGATGGAACACTGAAGACAAGGACAGATGGGAAAAACGAGAGAGAAATATGTTCTCTTCTCTTTCATCTTTCTCTTCAGTGCTACTAATGTAGCCGTATTGAAACATATCGAGATTTCCTTGTCTTTCATCTACTCTGTGCCACTGAACTATATTTCAGCCAGACTAGAAGGTAGGCAAGGAAAGGATTGAAGAACCTCTCTATATTTCAATGCGGTGCCGTTGGTACTACGTATCACTAAAGAGAAATATAGAAGAGAAGAAAATGTTCCTTTCTCTTGTTCATGACATCAAACAGCTCAGTTGACAATATGGATTAGCAATCTATTACATTTTTTTGAGCAGTCTTAGGTTGGCAGCAAACTGTCATTAGCGTCCATGATGTCATCGATGTCAATGATACCGGAAAATTCAGATACTTCCGCGGATTTTCTTGAATATTAAATCTATTCTCATAAGTGCTAAACCATTTGAGATTTTTCTGTGATATCTAGTATTAGTGAGATTCAATAAAGGTGCATGTTTTCCAATACAAATATAATTTTAAGCTTCAACAGTGGCGTCCATAGGAGCACTGACTGAAGGACAAAAATGTTACACCAATAGAATCTTTCCCAAATACAAATACATGCATTACATAGTCAAAATATTTTTTTCACTAGTTCATTTTTCCCAGTGTCAATGACGATAATGACAGTTGATATTAATGCTACTAATTACGCTGATGAGGAATAGTTGTCAACCTATCAAGGTTAAAATTGATGCAACCGATCCATGGTCAATTGACTATGCTCCAATTGAACCTAATTACCTTCATTTCTGAGAAAAAAATCTAGATTTCAAGACATATATATTTAAATGAATTAAATAGATGTTGATTATTTTTCAAAATTTTGTATCTTTCACAAATCAAGTTGTTCAGTAAGGAATATCACATCTTAATAATAATTGATGTAGCTGTATTTTCTACATTTCATTATTTTTACTTCAAGACTGTTGAACTGAAATAGGATCAATTGAAGTTTAGTTGAATTAGATAGTTCAATGGCTGACCTTATGAATAGCAAATTATTCTCTCTGAGAAGTTTTCAAATTTCCTGATGGAACTTCAAGTAGGAAATGTTACCAATGTGCCAATAATTAATTTTAACAAATTAGAATTTATTGTATACACCTCGGAAGAATTCGCCCTAGAAGTAGGTTAGTCTAAGAGTTCTAGTCAGATATCTAGTATATTTTGTATTTTGAAATTGAATATATAAATATTTGTAGAATAAATATAAGGAGAGAAAACATATACATGAATTCACTAGGTTGGAAAATCAAACTTCTTATATTCTCAAACTTTAAAGTGTATGGGGAAATTGAGGCAAGATTACTTGATTGTGATGTAGATGAATACTTGATTCAATAAAAAAGTGATGTTTCCTTGGAACAAAGGAGAAAAGAAAGGCTTGTGATTGTATGACTTATGAAGGAATGTGAAATTTCAATATATTTGGTATACCAGTCTTTCAGTGTAGTGTGAATGGCTTGAATATTAAATATTCGATAATTTTAGCTTGTTGGTTGATTTGTTAAACATATTTGTACATAGAAAAGTATATCTGATTTCGATTTGTAGTTCACCCTACTGAAGGATCTATAATCGTTTGTTATTTCTGTATTTCCATTATTATCTAATAACGTTAATGTACATACCGGGTGTCAAGGAATCTTGTCTTATTCATATCTATCATACTTGTCACTAAAACTTCGCGATTGTAATTTTCTGATATATCACCTGATGAGGTCCTTAGATTAGTTTACTTCCGATCATGGGCACCTAGATGTAATTTCAAAAGTGACTCCGAAAAAATTAAGTAGGCATAAGAACTTTCGAAAATGTCACATTCTGATCTAGAATTGTCTCAATAATCAAAAAATGTTACAATATACAGGGTGTTCCATTTAAAAATTTAGAACCGGAGCCATTTCCGGTGAAACCGCAAGTGACCGGAAAGTGAAAAATATGTAAAAACTATCCTCTTCAGATACCATTTACCTATACCAAATCTCATTTTGATACACCTAATGGTCTAGAAGTTATGACTTGTCTAATAGATTCGTTGACAACCGGTATAAATATACATTTATATCAAAGGTTCTTACATATTTTTGAAGTTATATCTCTAAGGGAAGCTTATAGCTATAAAAACTGTTGAATATTCATTGTATACATTTTATATTATGTTGTATAGTTTTGAAAAAAAATTGAAAATAAAACTGTGACAAAATAATGTATTTCATTAACATTCCATGTCATTCAGTCCGGTAATGAAACATAGTTATCCCTCTTAATTTTTTTCCAAATAAGTGACAAACTATATGGTATTGGCGTATTATTTAGATTTCTACAGACAGTTATTGTCAAGGAAATGGCAAAAAAAAAACGAGTTACATAAAAGCCTAGTTTTCCAAATTCATATTTATGCTGAGAGGTTCTCCATGTATTCTTTTGGTATTCTTTTTCTTGTAAGGCCCTTCCATAAAATTCTAGAATGAACAGAATAAAGTACTGTAGGTACTGGTTTTTCTTGCCATCTCGTCGACCATGTTCTGGAGCGAAATTATTCTCATTCATATAGTTTTTTTATGCACCGTTTCGAACAGGGTGGTAGCTTGAGTGTGCAACAAGACGATATCAAAGTTTTGGGAACGCATCAGCTGTCTGAAATAGGGGAAAACGATACTGCTCCATTACCTCCTCCAGAAATCGGTGACACAATCGACGGTAAGTTGTCCTAGCTGAACGCCCGCATGTATGCTGTTGCTTCCTTGAGTTTTCCTGCTTCTCTGCCTAAGTTCTCAATTTCTTTTTGTCAGAGTATTAGTTTGCATCTTTTCGAAATCAGATGACGCTAGACTTTTCATTGTGAAAAAGTTGACTACCGGCAAAAAAAACCGGCCAGCAAAAAAATTTGCCAAATTGATCGCCGTGTAACTTTTTGAATTCTGGTCCGATTTTGGTGAAATTCCAACCAAATCGTAGATTTATGTTTCAAAATGTTAACCTGAGTTGTAGTTCCCAAAAAAAGCTGATGGCTTTGTCATTATACAGGGAAAAACAAAAGTACTATTTCACGCTTAACATCTTAACGCCCTGTGGCAAATACGAGTGATTGAACTTAGCTTCATCATGTTGTGGATTGAAGTGTGATCCCTTCTTAACTCAATAGATTTCGACGAAAGAATCATTATCTCTGACCTCGAAAACCCGCAGATACAAATTTTGAATAGAATCGGATCATGATTACAAAACTCTTCCGCCATATTGGATCTGCCATCTTCAATTTCAAAATTTTTACGAAATAATCATAATTTCTGATCTCGAAAAACCGCAGATACAAATTTTGAATAGATTCGGATAATAATAACAAAACTCGTCCGTCGTATTGGATCCGCCATCTTGAATTCATCAAAAAGATGTGAGAGTCCTGTCGTTGAATAAAACATAATAAGAGGAACCCATGATTTTATAGTTCATTCTTGACTCTTTCGAGCAACCAGCATTTCCAAATATACTCCATAACAAAATTTCATGTAAATGAATGCTGAGAAGGGACAAGACCACGCCCACAAGTCGTGCGCGCGGTGTTGTCACGTTCACCGCTTCAAATGTCCTCTAGTGTGAATTAATATAATGATTATTTACACAAATGTATTATAAGCAATAATCCACAAATCATAAGGGAACATCTTAAGGCGATTGAGCTCTTTTCTACCTTGAACGAGAGAGAAGAAAGATCAATCTTCTTCCATCTTTCTTTTCAATGCTACCAACGTGGCCGCATTGAAATATAGAGAGGACAGATGAATCTTTCCTTGTCTAACATCTAGTTTGTGCCACTGACCTATTTTTGAATTCAACAGTGTCAAATTAACGGTATTAACAAAATATGTCAAAATAAGTGTGGTATAATTTGCAATTTCATTAAAAAAAAATGAAAGGTTATCAGTCAACGACATTTAAACGAAGGGTAAGGTTGTGTGTACTTTGTAATATTCAAAATATTAACAAACGAAGTACACAGTCTTCATTACAAGCAAATACACGAACGTTTTCGCCTACAAGCCATCATCAGGAGTAATTTTTGTCAAGAGTTTTTACAAAAGATCAAAACACAAAAAAACGTTCGAGAATTTGCTTGTCATAAAGACTGTGTACTAAAGCCTTTGTTTGTTAATATTTTGAAATGACATTAAAGACATAGACATATCACATCATTCTAATCTGAACTAACTGAAATATCTCAATAGAACTGAACCTGCATCAGTTATTATGTGTTATTTCCAAAGAATTTGATTAGTTAGAAACCATGTTAACTGATCCAGTTCAGTCCAAGTGAAACATGACAGTTAGTTCAGAAGGAAAGGATATCATTATAACATCGAAAATAGTTCAGTGGCGCATACTAGAGGTTAGACAAGGAAAGATTTATCGGACTTCTCTATATTTCAATGCGATAAAGTTGGTAGCATTAAAGAGGAAGATGGAAGAGGAGAGAACTTTCCTCTCCCTCGTTCAAGGTCGAAAAGAGCTCAATTGATTTTGTATTGCTAAATAGGAATATTACCAATACATAGTTGAGAATTTATTAATGTTTGAATAGCTAATATTTCTGTAGTTCCCAATCGTATTTCAACAAATGGCAACTGTACTATGGTCTGCCATTACTTACGAAATCGTGACATCAGGTTTTACTCGCCGTAAATTTCCATCTATCTAATGATTTTAGCACCTAAAAATCCACCGATAATTTCTAAAAAAATTTGAAATCGAAAGGTATTTGAATGATGATTCTACTTGAGAAATAAAAAAAATAGTCCACTCTCCACTTGAGATGTAGTCAATAACAAGTATTCCCTCTTGGAGCTTGAATTACAGCATTCAAATTTCTCAAGCAGTCTTGCGAAATTGACCCAAATTTCCCTTGTAGTAGCTTTTGAAGAGACTCTTTCACCCTTGAACTTTTGTTTTTTTTTCCTTTATAATGATCATGTTGTCAGCTTTTTCTGAGAAATAATATTCAGGCTAATACTCCGAAATCAAAATCATATCAAAAACTAGTGTTCAATATCATGGGAGGCACTCAAAATGTAGAAGTATATGCAAATGGAATTTGACAAGATTTTTGTGGTATTAGACAAAAAGTGTATTTTTTTCTGTGGCGGGAAAAAAGTATGAAATTTCACCTCTGTTGACAGGTTTTTCTCATGGTAAACAGTGAGTACTTTCTTCCCGTATATATATATACACTCTTTTGATGGCCTTTGTTGTGATGTAGTTCCGGAAAATCAACCAACACACCGTCTCCGAGAAAGAACTGCAAGTCCTTTTATCGTCCATTCTACTTCGCGAATTAGACTAACAGATATTTGATTACTTCAAAAGAATGATAAAGATGCCTGCAAAAAATGCCTGCAACGCAGGCAATCTTCTCAATATTGATTCGTCGTTTTTGCTGTCAAAGAAAAAAAATTGTGTATTATACACGGGAAAAATATTAGATTTTTGCTACGCATCGGAAGACACGACAACCTGGAGTTGAAATCTACTTTTTCCCCCTTGTATAATAAAAAACCATTCTTTCTAAAATACGTTTCACAGTTTTACAGACGTGGCCAAATAATCTGTGTGGTTTCTTCTTGTTTCAGTAAATCTGCAATTGTTTATAGAGGTTATACAGAATAGTAATTATTAGATTTCTATTATATTAGCTTTGTTTAGTCATTAACTAGTAGGTATGCTTTTGTAGTAATTAACTGATTCACTCACCATCAGCAGCATGATCTGCCTTTTTATTAACAATAAGTTGTTGTTTTTTTAGATGTTTCTTCTTGCTTCATATTTAATATTTTTTACTTTCTTCATTACTTTGATGTACCAATTATTGTTTCCTTGATCTTAACCATATGAAATATTTGAACTATAAAAGTTTTGGTCCCGTATTTGTTTTGTGAAAGTGAAAAAGTGAATTGTGACTGAAGCAATGAAAGTATTCCAATATCCAATATTCAAGCTAATGTAGTCGTAAGTATGTATTTGAAATTTATTTATTTGGGCATTTAAATAGGGTAATATTTGAACTTTGTAGGTCCCATGAACTGAAGACTCAACCACACAACCATCGTTTGCAACGGATTGATACAACAAAAATATGATCGACAACTAGTTTTTAGAATGTTTGATAAGTTGATCAATAAATAAATTGAATGCCAAAAGTATTATTGTTGTTGATTAATAAGTTGAATGTCTACAAAGTTTGAGCTATGTTATAAATGAGCCCTCCATTGCCACGTAATTGCATGGTTACAAATTGGACAAAAAATATATCATTATGAATTTGAAGAACATTATTTTTTCGATAATATGGTGCAGGGTATCTTCTCACATATTTCTTTAAAAATTCACTTCCCAATGCATGTAATTAAATTTTATTATTCCGCAATTAATAAAGATATTGGCTCGGCAGCTTCAGTAAATTTTATTCAACATATTGTTCCAGAAGATAGATAATTCTCTGATTTTGTTTTAAATGAATGCGGGATATTCACTCTCTGGTTCCCTAAAAAATCCCAAAAACAATTTCATTCTCTGGTAGGAAATTCTCCACTTCATTATAGAATGTTGAAAATACTTATCATCCAGTTATTCCTTCTTCTACCTACTTTAATATTTCTTGTAAATACTGTATGCTTTTTTCATAAGGGTTTTATCTATTTATGGTAACAATATTCCTTTTCACAATGCTATCTTCTGCTCTGGGGTGCACATACTGTCACTATTTTACCTTTTGCTGTCATTATTAATCATTAACACTCGTTTTCCAATGGCTGAACTCTTGAAATTATTTCCAAACAGATTTTGAATCAAACATTAGACAGTGAGGATCTTGGAAAACAATATAGTATGTTCCTAATTATAGTTGTAACTAAATTAATAATGATTGGGACAATCTCTACGGTCATATTGCCTACAAGGAACGGTTAATTAAAATTTCAAACCGTAAATGATGAACTGTTTCGTGTAAAAAAGGGAATCTTGAACAGATAATGAATTTTTTAGCTGGAAGGAATTATGTTCGTTACTCAACATACTTGATCAAAATTCAGAATAATCCTTGTTTCAAGTAGCTTCACTGTCCTATAGCTGAATGACTAGGATATATTTACTTCTGAGGGAGTGGAATAGTAGATGAATCATGAATTGAATTCGATTTTTTTGTGAAATAGTACTCGTGTGTCAGAGTTCATTTCATAATCCTAAAGACCTCTTAAAATTGAAGATGAAGCGTATGAGGAAAGTTCACTCTAGGATCCATGTAGATAAGAGAAAATTAAAACTTGTATTGGAATTTAAACAAATCCTTCCATTTGTTGGTTGAATATAAAAATTCTGTTTATTTCTGGCTTCGATATCATCATTCTTCATTTGAATAATATTTATATTTTGGAATTGACCACATCCACAATATAATAACAGATTAACTAAACAAAATCATTAATTTCCTTTGAGTTCCAACTCAGGTTCCAAGGAAAACGATCCCACTACTTCTGGTTTCATATGATAAAATACAGTGTTTGCCTTCCAACGACCTGCCAAATGACGTAACTCTGGAATGATTAATTGAAATTCTGGTACTTGAATGTTAGTTTTTGCAGTACTTCCGGTTAAAACGGGATTGATATTTATAATCCATATGACATTAGTAGATGAAACCTGAATAGACAATCAAGTGTAGGAATACGCGAATTAGTAATATCGTTGTTTGTGAAACCGAAAAAAAAAATAGATTTTTGTTTGAATGTTTCTAAAGAGAGTGAAGGCCAATGGAAAACATTAGTGAGACCGACGTTAGTGCGAAACGAAAGTCTCGCGCCACATCCACATCTTGGCTGTAATCGACGATTTGCCCATTTGAGAGAGAAAACAAGTCAATTCAACTCTTTGTTTGTTGAATTCCGTGTCATCTCTGATGACATCAGATTGAAAATGATGGAATAGTATATTCAACAAAATGTCTTATAAAGCGTTTTTTTTCTATTTCGCATTAGTTCATACGTTTTTAGTTAAAACATTGCTCAACTAAACATTTAAACATATACAACTGATGGAGTGGTTGGTAACAGTGACACATTGGTTATCAGATTTATCATTACAAACATACTGAAGTTTGCACCTTTTCTTGAACTGACAAAATCTGTCCAAGTGGCCGTGAATAATTTGATTTTTCCAGAATATACATAGACATCTCTAATTATTATACCAAACCTCAAACTTTCAGCCGATTGATACATTGAGCAAATCATACATGGCATTGAGCTTAATATTGTGCTCAGCTGCAGACCAAAACTTTCCAGCAAGTCAAATTATGAATGTGCGATTTAGAATAGAAGCTGATGCAAAATAGAAAAAAAATCCCGTTTTATATACACACCGGCAAGAAAACTGACCACAAAAAATGTACCCAAATTATTCGCCATGTAACTTTTTTAATTCTTGTCCGATTTTCGTTAAATTTCGACCAAATTTCAGATTCATGTTTTGGAATGTCATCCCGAAGTTTTCTTCCCAAGAAAACCTGATGGCTTGATTATACAGGGAAAAAAGTTACTATTTTTTCAACGCCCTATGACTAAAGTGAGTGGTTAAACCCAGCTTCATTATGTTTTGAATGGGAGTGTGACCCCTTCTCAACACATTGGATTTTGATTAACATCAATATTCTCTTTTTAAGAGTAGATACAAGGGTTTTGATATATATCGTTTATTCCCATAGTTTCTTAAAACACTTGTATCTTCTTTTGAAAAGAATAAAATACTTGTATATTCTCTTTGAAAGGAGATATTGACGTGAATTAAGAATCATTGTGTTGAGAATGGATACTTTTTACCATAGGACTTCAACAAGTTGAGGGTGGAAGACTTACTTTCATTTTTCCCTGTATAATTACCAAGTCATCAGCTTTTCTTTGAAAGGAAAATTCATGCCAACATTTCGAATAGTCTTAGAGCTAGCGATCGACAGACGTATGGTATGTTAGCAAACTCCTTATTAATGCTAGGAGAATTCACTATCCCCGTCGACGGCTCATTTGGGCGTGTTCAAAAGTCAAAAAACTTGAAGAAATAACTTCGAAAACGTGATCGCAGCATGTGTGCCGTTCAAATATCTTGAGGCACATGATTTTTTTCATTAGACAATTCGAAAATTTTATTAAAAGTTGTGTTATTTCTTAAATACTCATGTATTGACCAATGTTATACGCAGATCAAAATTTAATCAAGTTTAATGATTAAAATGTAAGTAATAAATTTTCTGATTATTCATATTTCACCAAGTGGAGTGCAGAGTTCAACCCATCTTACTTAGTTGAAGTAATTTCTCCTTGCATCTATGGCGACGCTGAAATGATGCTAAATTTTATTTGCGTTCGCCAAGGTGTTATTAGATGACGTTTCGTTGACATTGAAAACTACGGAAAAACATGTGTAACTTTCAATTTGCGGTAGTCAAGGTCATCATCTGACGTTGCGAATGACATGAAAACTACGGGAAAACATTCTGAACTGGCTTAGATTGAATGTTAGAGATGTTTTCTCGTAGATTTCATGTCATTGCAACGTCAGATGATGACGTTGACTACCGCGCATCTATGCCAGGTGCCTTATTTTTGAATCGAAAGAACGATTCCCCCGAGGGAATGCTTGGTATAAAATGTTTATAATGTCACTTTCCACGGCTTTTTTTCTCGGTGGATTATGAAAGAAGACGGAACAGAGTACCTGTACATTCCCTTGGCTCCTTATTGAGGTTTATACTGTAGGTACCGAGGTGGGAATACCCCCTGTATCTTTCTCCACTGTTGCTACTTTGGGCCTCTGTACAAAAACATTTTGTGCAGAGCAGGTAGAGTAAACTACCTCAAAAACAATCTGGCGCTCGAGAACCCCCCCGTCAAATACCATAATAATTTGTTACTAAGGCCCATGGAGTTAGGATGTTTTCCAGTAGTCCTGAATGTCATCACAACGTCATCTAATGAACTTGGCGACCGCGAATAACATTTTCGAAGTTTGGAAATTCTATAAAGCATACTTGGAACCGGAATAAGCGCCATTGAAATTGTCAATAAAAAGAATTTTTCAACGATATTTGACTTTTGGACACGCCCAAAGGAACCGTCGACGGGGATTGTGAATCTCCATTTCACCTACGACAGATGAAATAGTGTACCTAGCACCAATATGAAGTTTTCTAACATCTGCCGATCGCTGGATCTCAGTCTAAAAACATGATTATATTATTTGATTGAAATTTTACCAAAATTGGAGAATAATCAGAAAAGTTAGAGGGCAAAATGTTCCTCTCAGTGGCCGGTTTTGTGTGATGATTTTGTCATTGGCAAAGGCAGCTGGGATAGAATGTGGCGCTAGACAGACGCTTATCGTGTTGAAAGTAAAATTTTTCTCGTTTTGCAGGTTCGAAAACCTGGCACATGCGACTAACGTTTGACAAGCTGCCGGGCGGTTGCAACCTGCACCGTTGCAAGCTGTGCGGCAAAATAGTGACGCACATCCGTAACCACTATCACGTGCACTTCCCGGGCCGATTCGAGTGTCCCCTCTGCCGAGCCACGTACACTCGCAGCGACAACCTGCGCACCCATTGCAAATTTAAGCACCCGCGCTACAATCCCGACACCAGGAAGTTCGATCTCCACCAGCCCAAGTTCGAACAGCTCCCGTCGCCCAACTCCGCTTCTGCCCTAGCGGGTGGGGGGGACATCCCGACCGATTGATTTTGGCTTTACTACTATTTTTATTGTCGGGCCGCTATGATGTGCGGGTCGTAGCAACGGTGAACGCGCTATACGCTAGGTTAGGTCATTCCTCCTCGATAGCGCGACGCACGTAGGTTCTTCTTCTTATTATTATTATTCTTCTTTCCCCTCGTCCTCCTCGTCCTCCTACTCTTCTTCTTTTTTTTTTCACTTTTACGTTCGTTTTTTCCCCACCACCGTTGGCGTTTTATTCGGGTAACTCCCTGGGTGTGTACAGGCTGGGCCAAATTAGACACTTTTAAAAATGAAAAAAAAACTGATGTTGGTGTCTGTTGGTCAATTCACATGACAAACTCAATGGTGAAAACTGCATATCGATATCTATCTTCGTTTCAGAGTTACAAGGTGTTTTTCGAAAATATGAATTTTGGAAAAGTGGCTGAAATTCATTTTCGTGTCAAAAATTTTTCGTTTCCATAAGAATATTTCCAAAACATTGTGTTTGTCATGAAAATTGATACTCTGGCACTGAAATCAGTCACCATATACCTAGTTTCGTAATAGAACTTTTCCTTCAAGAAGAACAAGTTATATTCTTGAACAAGGATATAGGAAGGCCGATTTCAGTGCCTCAGGATTGATTATTATCATTATTGCAGTTATTTTCATGAGAACATATAATTTTTGGCAAAAAAATATTTGTAGCCCCTTCTCAAAAATGACCATTTTTTATGAACACCGTGTAGCTCCGAAACGAAGACAGATATCGATATGCGATTTTCACCATTGAGTTTTGCATGAGAATCGACCCTCAGGCACCAACATCAATTTTCTTCTATCTAGTTGGAGAAGAGGGCTTTCCCTTCAAAAGTGATCAATTTGGCCCACCCTGTACAGTGTGTCCAATTTTCGATCATTTTGCGTGATGTCTCAGTTATCTTTGGAGTTAGAACTTTGCGGTTTTTGCGGTCCTATGCCACTTTTTGTGAAACTCAAGATGGCCTAATCAGATCTTGCATAACTGTTTTCGTTTTTGAGATACAGTTCAATTTTGAACATTTATACTTTTTGAACCTCCTCTATATCTACGAAGTTTATTAGCGAAAATGTCAAATAAAAATCTAATCCCATAGAGAATTTTACGCAAAATTCAGTGGCGCACTCAAAATTTTTTTTCGTGGTATAAAACGCCCTATACTTTGTGAGCTCATTGTATTCCTTATTTTTCCCTTCAAAATGATATATTATATAATGTATTAATATAAAATTTTCAAAAATGCTCAAAAATCACTAAAACATTGGTGGGCTATGGATTTTTCATAAAAAAAAACGTTCCAAATAGAGAAATATATTTAAAATTTTTCCATGAAGAGCACAAAAACAATATCAACACTAATTAACTAAATAAACACAAAACTTAGGTACCTGATAGCAACAAATAAATAGTAATACAAAGTTCATAATGTAGAATAAGCACCTGATTAAATATTGCCTAAAACAATTGAATTTCGAAATTATTCAGTAACTTATTTATTGAATTGTTCTCATTGATGTCCATTTTCCCTAACACACAATCGACACACTTTCTCAATACGTCCTAATACAGTAAGCGTCAGAACATACTTGAAGAACTTCTGCAACAATAGAGGCAGTTTTCCAGGAATTACAAAGACATTCTTAAATGATATTGAATGCATTAATACGTATTGAGGAAGTTTTGTGAGGAAAAATGGACATCAATTTGAACAATTTAATGAATAAGTTACTGAATAATTTCGAAATTCAATTGTTCTAGTAAATATTCAATGAGGTGCTCATTCTACATTATAAACTTCTTATTTCTTTATATTTGTTGCTATCACGTATCTTAGTTTTGTGCTTTGTTAATTAGTGTTGGTATTTTTGTCCTCTTCATGGAACAATCAAAGGCAATATTCCTTCAATTGGAACTTTCTTCATATGGAAAATCCATAGCCCACTATTAAAATTCAATGTTTTAGTGATTTTTGAACATTTTTGAAAATGTCAATGAGCTTTATAAAACACAGGGTGTTCTTTTTAAAAAATCATAAGTTCGAGTCATATCTCCATCATCATACCCCGAAAAAAATGTAAGTGCGCTACTGGATTCTGCGTAAAGTTCTCTGTAAGTATAAATTTTCAAAATCGCCCTGTATCTTTTAAACGAAAACAGGCATACAAAATCTGATTGGGCCATCTGAGTTTCATAAAGAAATGGCACAGGACCGCGAAAATCGCAAGGTTCTATCTCCAAAGATAACTGCGATATCACACAAGAGCATCAAAAAACTGGACAAACTGTACTGTGAATGCGCTGAACGGACTCTTTTCCTCATTGTCCTACTCGGGCGCCTTTATGTTCCAAATACAATGTGATTTTTTTGATTTGAAATATTAATTTTTCCAACTTATGTTGACTTAATATCTAAAAACACCCTAATTTTCCAGAGAAAATTCATAAATAATAAGAATTAGAAGGGGCGTTTACGTTTGTTTTCTTAATTAATTTTGCGCGAAAGTAACCTTGTTATATACATCATTGAATTTAGAAAAATATTTCTATAAGAACAATCTGTGTTCTCATTAGAAAAAAATATTGATAGACGCTGACTTTATGTAGGGTTAAAAATTTTCATTGATGCTTTTTTGGAAGTATTCAAGGAGCCATTTCATCAACTTTCCTAATTCATCAAAATCGGAGCAAGAAAATCGCACTATAATTTACCTTCATAATAGAATCGAAGTTACAACAGGATGATTTCCTACCACTATATAATGAATGGATATATGTCACCGCCATTGTGAGCTGTTTCTTAAGTTAGTCCTGCAGCATTTATAAATAAAATAGGAAAACAAAAAGCACACATTGATAGTGAATGAAATCACGTAATTATAATCTCATTAAAACATGGATCATTTTGTCCGTTCTGCGCCTTCATAGTATTTCAATGAAATTGTTGCAACACTTACCGCTCTTAGTGTTCAAGGTCATTGAAAAAACCGGCTGTCCTAATCGGGATTCGTTTTCGAAAGAAATCGCAACATAGCCAGTTATTTCGATAACAATAATACAAGAATTGCACATCCAGTGGTAAAGTACCCCATAAAACTCTTTTTTCTATAATAAAATGCGCTATAGTTTTCAAGTACCTTCAACGAAACTTACTCTTAACCGATTTCTTATTCACAAAAATATGTTTTGTTATGTTTTTCGAAGAATTATTATGAACATTATGCAGAAATACTCGCGGGTGTCGGTTTTCGAAATAGGGAAATCCATTATTCGTCCTCCTTGTCAATTAATTATATTGACTGCTTGAGTGAATGCTTCAGATTGGTTTCAAATATTCCAGATTTCTTATCTTCTGCAATTTCCGGATTTTCCAAAAATTCATCATCGATCATCGTCATGTTAAGACGTTAAAATAGAAAAATAATGCTCTGTTCTAGTCCTTTACACACAGCATGATTTTCTGATATTGATGGCATTTTGTCCCTATTTAAAATACATACATAATATGTATACATATTGATGTCTGACACTTGAAAAGTTTTTATATAACCTAAGAATAGTAATAAATCTGTGATGTTATTTGGAGTGTAACCCAATTAAAAAATTACGGATTTTTTATAACTGGAACAACTAGCTCTTACATCTTAGTTGAAAGTTTGAAAAGCTTATACCCGTCCATTCATATACATAAGTACATAATATTATATTGAACACTGGACAATTATTTTTTTTGTTTTAATCTCGGAACGGTTTTTTTGGTTGATATTTCGTGAATCGAAAGTTGTTATTTTGTCCAGTTCGTGATCATCTAATTTCAATTGTGAATATTTGTTTTTTATTTCTCTAAGAAATTGCGACATCCACTCTTTCTTTTGAATTTTTTTGGCGTTTTTTACGTCGATAATTCATTGCCAAAACTACTTATTACTATTTCTGCAAGTGCAATTTTATTTTACCTCATGTTCCCATCTCAATAAATTTTAATGAATGTAAGCTACTAGTTGAAAATTAATGATATTTAGGAATCTCTCGAATTATTAATGGTACACATTTGTGAGTACCTCTATGCGGCCTTTTAATAGTTAAATTGAATACCTAGTTGACATTTCGAATTACTTTCTAGCTGTATCATATCTGCATATATTTTTATTATCAAAAGGATCATCAATCATAACGAAAATATCTTCTGGCTGGACCATTACATCTTCTGCGATTTGCCCTTATACAGGATGATCCAATGAAAATTTTACACCCCGATATTCGGGATTTGAAAAGAAAATCCGGAAAAATGCTCGATTGGAGAGGTCCCATCTTGTCGACGTTTCCGATTTGCGAAAGTTCCTATTGTTGCCGCACATGATAACAGAACTCAGTGCCAAATATTCATAATCCAGGTTATCGCCTATCAGGGGTGGAACAAGAAATTCATCAGCGTGTCCTATTAGAATAGAATACTCATTTGGGTGTCATAATGACTTAATAAAAGACGCAAAATAGAAAAAATACTTTTCGAATCCTACTCTGATGAAAATTTTCGACGTAAATTCGATATTGCGGCTTCCACTATTTTCTCTCTCATTTCACTTCAAAATGAGGTATTGCAACAGTCCTCCCGCTGATTGTGCTTCCCCTTGGTAGGGGGTTGAAGTTAGGGGGATGAAGAGAAATCGACTAGTACGAGCGTTTTCCCGGATTTTCATTTTCAAGCCCTAACATCGAGGTGTCAAATTTTTCCTTGGACCACCCAGTATAGAACGTTTCTATTCTGCCTATACATTTTAATCTTCATCCAACGTTTAGATAGAGAGATACAAAACGTTTTCCTATCTTCTGTGCATTCAGGTTCCAGTCAATTTGAAGTTATGTATCTTTATATTGGCGGTACACAAAAAGTCCTGTAAAATATTCTTGCCTGATGAAGAAGACCTGATCAGACACCATTTGAAGAAGTTGACAGT